CACTTATTTTTTCACATAGGATCAAAGCCACTACGTCTATTTCCACTATAGAATCAACGTCTATTTTTGTGAACCCAAGTTTCACCGCCTATGTTCCCTTTCCGGGTCAAAGCCACTACGTCTATTTCCATTCAAGGATCAACGTCTATAAAATGTGAATCCACCATTTCAACGTCTCTATTTCAAGACCAACCATGCCATGCAATGTACAATCAACAACTCGTATGCAATTAAGACCACTTTCGACCTTAACATACACATACCACATATTTCAACACAATGAAATACCAATTGTACATGTATTGCAAATATAATTCACAAATCAAGTAACATACAAGTTTAAACAATGTTACTTCCATGATTTATTCAAATCAAACACAATTTCGGTTAGTCCTTGAAAACGTCGAAATCTCAAAAAATAACTCAACCATAATTACCTACGCATTTAACTTAGTTACCCCGCCAAATTTCATTAATTTCCGGATAACTAATTTTTACCGCCTATACTGGCAAATTAGAAACAAACACAATCCTGATTAGTCCTTGAAAACGTCGAAATCTCAAAAAATAACTCAACCATAATTACATACGCATTTAACTTAGTTACCCCGTCAAATTTCATTAATTTCTGGATAACTAATTTTTACCGCCTATACCAGCAAATTAGAAACAAACACAATTCTGATTAATACTACTCTGGTATTAATCCTTTCCATTTTAGTTTCACAAAACAATCTAAAAGAACACACCATCATCTATCTTAAAACCCTAAAATAATTCATATTCCAAAACTAAAAATTACACACAACATAATTAGGGGAAGTCAAACCCTTACCTGTTTTAGCTTGATCTTGCAAGATGGTTGATTTTCTTTTACAGCAACCTTCCTCTTCTTTCCAAACCCTAGTTTTTCCTTCTTTTCTATTCTCTCTACTTCCCTCTATTTTATCTCTTTTCTATTCTTCTATTTCTTACCGTCACTTTAACTTCTAACTTATATATATATATATATATATATATATATATATATATATATATATATATATATATATATATATATATATATATATATATATATATATATATATATATATATATATATATATATATATATATATATATATATATATATATATATATATATATATATATATATATACTTTATTTTATTTAATAAATTAATTTATATTATTTAATTAAACTAACTTAATATAATTAAATAAATATTTTAATAATTCAATTATCACTAATTAATCCATTAACACACACACACAATACAATATTATCATATAAAATAATTATTTTCAGATAAATCGAATAAATCAATTTAATCAATAACCGGACTGAATAACCGACTAAATAATTATCAAATTGTCAAACTAAATATCAACCGATAATTTTCAGAAAATAATAATAATATAAATACCATTAATTAAAACGGGATGTTACACCATCAAACCTAAGAGGTTTTGAGATATAGTGATCTCTATCATTATCCCTATTATCAACAGTGGAAGTAGATGTAGCCATTGGTTTTTCACACACATTAGGCTGGTACTTGACACTGTTAAATGTTGATAAAAATTCAAATTTTTTATCTCCTCATAACCGGAGCTCTGATGTCAACTGAAGGTGTGAAAAACACAAGAAAGTTGGAGGGGAGGGGGGTTGAATTGGGTTTTTAAAACAAAAACTTTTCTTTAAAAATATTCCCTTTTAAGTTAAAGTTCTTTTTCCTTCTCTATTGATAATAACAATAAGTAAGAACAGGAAGTAAAGAACAATGTATGTTTATACTAGTTCACTTGAAAATTATCAAGCTAGTCTAGTCCGTCCGCCAAGGTAATTTCGCCTCACTCAATCAAGGACTTAATTCACTATAACTAAATTGATTACAATTTGCACAAGCTACCCGCAAATGACTAACAACCTCTAAGACTCGCAAGCCTCATACTTCTTAAGGATCCAGACCTACCCGGTCCCTTAAGAAATATCAAACAATAATCAATCTGATTATTACAATGCACAAGCTACCCACAAGTGACTAACAACCTCTAAAACTCGCAGGTTCTAGACTTCTTAAGGATTCAAACCTACCCGGTCCCTTAAGGAAAATCAAACAACTATTTGAATACAAGTTTTGTTTACAAGAGTATTGCTTCTACACAAGCTGAATATGTAACTATTTTAAGAATAATGACTTAAGAATATGAAAGCTATGAACAACGTTTGCGCGTGATTATTCAGTGAATTGACAACTTTCACTCTTAGTCTTCAAGCCTTTATTTAGCCAATAAAATAATATATCCATTGAGGGGCACTCTTGGGATTTCCAGAAACATTGGCAGCTTGAACAGTAACGTGGAGGACAAAATCGTGCAACGCGTCCTTCCTTTCATGGTAGTGGAATGAAACGTTGATTGTACCATGTACTATTTGTATCACGTTAACATTATTTTCTTTCCTTCTGCACTTCAGAGGCTTCTCCAAGCATGGGTTTAGAAGCGGAAACATAACATCAGGTCATCAGAACTTCAAGTCTTTAGAACTACATCTTTAGAGTCTTCAACACTTTGTTGTGAGAACCTTTTCTTGGAACCTTTGGTCTTTAGAACTTCAAGTCTTTAGAATCTTTAGAACTTCTGTCTTTAGAGTCTTCAACGCGTGGTCTTTAGAATCCTTATCTTTAAAACTTTGTTATTAGAAACACAAGTCTTTAGCATTTAGACTTCAGTAAAAACTTCATCTTCAGATCTACTAACTTTGTTTATTTGGAACACATTGTCTTTAGAAGCTTGAGTCTTTAGCATATAGACATAAGTAGAAACTTTTGTATTCAGATTTTCTCACTGGTTTCCTTAGACAAACATTAGAGCTTACACTTCAGAGCCTTCTGGAGTGTCTTGCTACTGTTCAACAGAACTTTTGTAGCGTAGAAGCATAATTAATTTTCTTCTAATGTCTTGGCCACACCATTCATCAGAAGCATAACTTATTTATTAAATACTCAACAATAACAAATATTAGAGTATCAAAATTGTTCATACAAACATACTCATTTGTTATCATAAAAAATAAGAGAGAATATTGCAGAACCAAATCTTGTTCTTACAACTTAGGCTTTGAAATTTTTAGCAGGTCAGACTCAGGCTTGACAAAGCCTACCCCGACTTAGCTTATTCCCATCCCTAATTGAGGACAATGTTCGGTTCAAGTGTATGGGATAAATTTTATTGCTTTCTTTTTACTTGCTTTCTAGTATAATTATTTAGGATTTTTTATTGTTTTCTAGTTTTAGTTTGTTTGTCGAGTCAATAATTATGCTGTCGAGTCATTTATGTGTGATTTATGTTGGTTGTTAAACTTTCCTTAAAAATTGAGCACCAACAAAATCAAATTCATATTATGTCAAAATCTTAAATTCTTGTTTTTGAATAATGTTTGAGTAGTTTATATTAGCAGTCAACATCATCTTAAATACATACTACATAGGTTAAACATGATATATTTCAGGACAAACTCATTTTGATTCAGTGTTACAATTTAATATACTCTTATCAATCCAACTCAATAGGTCAGACATATACAAAATCTCTCAATCATAGATTGCATATGAACACAATTTTTCTTAAGATCTACCAAAATATCATAAATATAATCATTTTCAACTACTCTTCTTTTACTAAGCTCCCTCTTTACAAAATCACATAAAATAATTCCACTCTTCTTTTACTAAGCTCCCTCTTTACAAAATCACCTAAAATAATTCCACTCTTCTTTTACTAAGCTCCCTCTTTATAAAATCACCTAAAATAATTCCACCCTTAATATAAAGACGAGTGCTAACATTTTTTCTATCTAAGATCAATGTTATAAATACTCTTTTTTTTTTGTTGCGAGTTTCACATTTTACAAATGAATGTTTTATTAATTAACTTCATATAGATGAATTTCACCTATAAATGTTTTTAGCATTCCTCTTCTAATTAATTAATGAGTCATGATATTTGAACATTTACAAATGAAACATTAGTGTTTTAAAAACTGAATTGGGTATCAAACCAATGAGGATGTTGAGTTATTAATTTATTGATCAAGTTATTGGGTTATTAGCCGCGCGGCCGTGACAATTAAACTTCAAACTAAGAAAATATTAATGGAATAATCTGATTGGTTAGTTTCTGGTGCCACGGATAGCGATCTCCATACCGTTTTTTCAGATGCTAACAACCGTAGATGTATCCTCCCATCAACGGTTATTATCTTCCCATTCTCAAAACTCAAAATCTTCACAATCCCCGTTTTTCCCTCGTTCATTTCCCTACTATATATTACCCAAACACTTGCTTTCCTTTCATCGCATCTCAATTTTCCTTCTCCTCTCTCGATTTACACGTAAAATCATTTTCTTTCAGATCTCAATGGCACGCACCAAACAAACCGCTCGCAAGTCCACCGGAGGCAAGGCTCCAAGGAAGCAGCTCGCCACAAAAGCCGCCCGGAAATCTGCACCGGCGACCGGAGGAGTGAAGAAGCCACACAGATTCCGTCCAGGAACAGTTGCTCTGAGAGAGATCAGGAAGTATCAGAAGAGCACCGAGCTTCTGATCAGGAAACTTCCATTCCAGAGATTGGTACGAGAAATCGCTCAGGATTTCAAAACAGATCTACGATTCCAGAGCAGTGCCGTTTCTGCACTTCAAGAAGCTGCTGAAGCTTATCTCGTTGGTTTGTTTGAAGATACAAACCTTTGTGCAATTCATGCTAAAAGAGTTACTATCATGCCCAAGGATATTCAACTCGCTCGCAGAATCAGAGGCGAGAGAGCTTAAGATTTGTTAATTAGTTAGGTGTTGTTCTGTTGGGGTTTTGTAAGATACTTGATGAAATCCTTAAATATCTCAATTTAATGGTAAAACCCTTGGTTACGAGTTGATTGAATCTTGTTTACTCTTAATTTACCTTTGTTTTTGGGAGAATATGAATATATGATGTTTGATTTAGTGATTCTTGTCACCATTAGAAACCATAACAAATCGGAAAATCACCGCCCTCTCTATTAACCTTAATTTCCCCTGTGACCCATGGGTAGCATTTACTTTGCCAACTGTTGTTTTTGTCTTACTGCTATCAACCCCTCCCTTTGCACCTAATGTTATTCCATTAGGAGAATGTTTCTCTATGAATTTCTTGGATGAATTGTCTAGGCATGTCATTTGAGCTTTGTATTCTAGATCATAATGTTAGGATCTATTTTTTGTCTTCTACGTTTGCTGTTTTTTCTAGATAGGATGGTGTATATGTAAGCGATACTCTTATGTTGTTTAAATTAGATACACCGCGGTATGCTAGCAGATAATACCCAGGTGAATTCATTATGTGCGAGTCACCTTTAAGGCCATATTGGACGACACGTCATTCTTGTTTAAACATAGGCTGACGTTCTCCAAAATCCAATACATACGATGTTATAGATTTCTACTGTAACAGTGGAACAACACTAAAATGATTTAATAGAATAAAAGGGAAATATTCATTTGATTGATATTCTAATGTTTCAGTGAGACTATGTTATATAATACTTTTAATAAATAATTATATTATTAATTAAAATATCTAATTATACCTCCTATCATATGATTATTTAGTATTGTATTTTAAATTTTACTCTAAATTTCTTATTTATATTTATACGATGAATTAATTTTCGTTCGTATATTTGCATTTTTTAAGCGTATTTATATATATTTTTAATTTTTAATATTTATCCATATATATATATATATATATATATATATATATATATATATATATATATATATATATATATATATATATATATATATATATATATATATATATATATATATATATATATATATATATATATATATATATATATATATATATATATATATATATATATATATATATATATATATATATATATATATATATATATATATATAGATAGATAGATATATATATATATAGATAGATAGATATATAGATAGATAAATAATAATTTGATTTTTATTTGTTTTATTTTATTATTATCTTTTAATTAAAATATAAAAAATATACATGTTTTAGATTTATTTAATTAAATTTAGTTTTAGTTTTAAGAATTATATAAAATATGTGAATATAAATTTTTTATGCTTATTTTATTTAATTAAGTTTTGATGTTAATATTAGTTTGTTTATGTTGAATGATGAGGTTTTGAGTTAGTTTGTTTGAAATTTTGAGTTGTTTTGATTATGATGTTTGTTTAAGTCAAGTGGATGATTGAATTTGTGATGAAAATTTTATATTGGCCTTAACGATTGAGTTTAAAAATGTTATGCTTTGTTGTTTGAGATAATTTGAAGGAGTTTTTACGATATTTTGGGTGCATTTTAAATGTTTGAAGCTCATTTTGAACTCGATTTTTCATATTGCAACGTGAATTTCAGCTTCTTGTTTCATTTGTGATTTGAAAGCCATATTTACTTTTGAGTTTAATTGTTTGAAACAATGTATTGAATGCTGATTTTTGTGTGTGTTCATGAGAAGTAATAGCATGATTTCTTGATCTTTGTTTCAATTGTGATTGAAAAGCGATGTTTACCGTTGTGTTTACTTGACTTTGAGTGTGTTTAGCACAATGATTGCAATGCTGATTTTTGCAATTTACATTGAATAATAACTTGTTTTTTTGGTTCTTGATTGAGAAATATTCATCTGTCCATGCATTTCGATTCGAATTTCATTTGATTTTCAATTTACTTGTGATTACTAAGTTGTTTATGTTTTGTGTAGCTTTCAAGTAACTCAAGTTTTCATTTCATCTTAGTTATTTAATTTTGTTATTCAAAATTAATTAGTTTCGGCTAATTAATTTTTCTTTTACATAATTAATTAACTTAATCAACTTTTAAGTTAATTAATTAAGTATCCATTTCATATTTGATTTGTTTCATTTAGCTGTGATACAAGTTCCTAATCCACTTGAACTTGATTAGTTATTTCACATGAGATGTTCAGATTATTTCTATACTATCCTGATTTATCTATTTGTTGGAAACTTCACCTGATACAAGGATTCTTATCCGAAACTTTGAGCTTACTCGGTGCACTTTCCTGACTTGTGATTTATTTTCATTTGATGCGCTTTATCCAATGCTTTGAGTATTATCTGATGCCTCGGGTTTCTTTGATGCTGTCTGCTTGTGATTTATTTTCATTCGAGGTTTGATATGCTCTCGGCTTATTTATCTATCTGTGGCTAGGGATGTAAATGGATATCCATGGGGACGGATAATATGATATCCGTGTCCGTTCCGTTGGATAAATATGATATCCATATTCACCCCATATCCATGCGGATATCTACTAAGCGGGTAATCCACGGGTTTTAAGATACCCGCAGATATTTACAAATATCCGTGGATAACATTTTATTCTAAAATTATTTTAAAAAAAATATTTTTTCAGTTTTTTTAAAGACACAAAAAAATTATTATCATATAACATTTATACAATTTAGTCTCAATTTAATAACAAAATTTCATCATATTAATATTTGTCTTTTTCACCAAAACATAATAACATCCATATAGAATATCCATAATTTTTAGCCAAAACAATATTCATCATAGCATATAATAATTGTTCCAAACAAAATAAAAAGTAATGATGCAGATAGTTTTCATCAATCATTGTAAAATTCTATATTATGCATTCCTTGCTTCAACAATTCCACTTTGATTTCCTAGCTCATGAAATAAAACCATAAAAATGCTCAAATAAAAATCTAAATAATCAACATAATAATAATATTTAAAATGAAATCTTTAACATTTCACTAACAATGTTAGCATCCATATCTTCCAATACTGAATTAATTTCAATGACTTCGACTTTTGATTTTGTATAACCTGAAAAAAGAAAAAGAATAAGTTAAACTCTAAGTGATTATAATTTTTTTAAGAAGCAATGAATTGTTATAGTTAAACAAAACTTGCAGTACGAAATTGATATTCAAATTCTAAATAGTTATAATTTTTCTAAGTGTTAACACTAACTATGCTATAAAAAGGTACAATAGTCTAAAAATTATTCCAAAATTTAATATTAATTTGTAATAAATCATAAAAAGACAGTACAAGGATTGCATCTCCAATGTTATAACCAAAACAAGGCTTACTTCAAAAACAAACTAACTTGTTATTAATTTGATTACCTTTCACATCAGTCTATAGCCAATCTTGGACACACATTAATGCCTCTAAAGTATCTGAACGCAATCTACTACGATGAAGAGTAAGAATTTGGCCACTTGTGCTAAAAGATGACTCTGAAGCAACTGTTGAAATAGGAATGGCTAAGAAATCTCTTGCAATCATTTGCAAGATTGGATATTTTAATCCATTAGCCTTCCACCAATTTAAGATGTCAAAATTTTCATCATCCGACAACACTTTTTCCTCTATATATCCATCAAATTCGGACTTACTAGATGTGACACTTTTTTTGCACTAATATGTTTTGCAAAATTAGACCTCCTAGCTTCTTTTTGGCCAACAACAATTGCATCAGATACATTTTTAGTTTGATTTGAGGATGAAGAAACATTCTCCTTCTCCTTGAACTTCAAATCATACTCAATTACCATATTTTGGAGAAAAGATTTTATCTTCTCAATTTCATTCTCAGCTTCAACTCCATAAATTAGAGGGAAAAAGTAATCTAATAAATCAACTTTATACCTTGGATCTAACACAATGCCTATTGCCATCACTCCATTGACCACCTTCCAATATTTGTCAAACTTAGAAAGCATACTAGAAGCCATATCTTTAATGACACTATCACTAGAACAAAGCCATTCAACCAAAGCCAATTTTATTTCACATACTTTAGGAAAATAAACATTTGCAGTTGTTGGCTGAAGATTTTGATGATACAGTTCGAAACGAAGCAAGTTGGATGTTTCGTTGGAATAAAGCAAGATGTTACGGTTCGGAATGGTAGAAGCAGTTCTTCGAACGAACATGTCAAAGCTCAGAGCTTCGAGTAATAGTTGTGAAGATATATTTAAAAGAAGCCTCGAAGTGGTAACGAGACTGTGTCTAAGAAATGAGTTCGAAGCGAAGAGTGCCAAAACATTTGAAATTCAAAACGCAAGCGGGATGTTCGAAATTTAAATATATATGCGCTGGAGCGTTCGAAGACGCGCGGAAGCTAGAGAGGAGCAGTGCTCTGCATGTTCTGAACGTGGCAGAATCTTATAGGCAAGACCGTTATGGTCGAAGTAGTATAAATAGAAGTCTTAGTACTAGGATTTCGTGTGTCATATCTATTGTACAAAATTCAGTAAACATTCAAAATACCACATGGCTAGGGAAACGAATGCTCGAACAATGTACATATGATAACACCAAATATTTATGATTCAGTAAAACTCTTTATCCTTTCCAGTTTATCTTTTATCTTCATGCTTTTGTCATTCAAATACCTTTTCATTCAAAGTCATTTACTGATTTCTTGCATTTAAACGCTTTTCTTCTATTTCGAATCCTTTACATTTCAGAAACTCTTTGACATTTCATGCTTTTATACTCATGCTCTTTACATTAAAAGCCTTTTCATTCAAAGTCATTTACTGATTTCTTGCATTTAAACGCTTTTCTTCTATTTCGAATCCTTTACATTTCCGAAATTCTTTTACGTTTCATGCTTTTATACTTCAAAGTTATTTACTTGTTTCTTGCATTTTTATATTTCTTTGCAATCGAATCTTTGTTCATACAATTTAGTTTCGCATGTCTTTACTTGATCATGTCATTATATCCTTTTGATATGGTAATTGAAGTGAGTTGAACGTTTATAAAACATTCCAAATACAAATCCTAACCATGAATGTCAGTTTTACAATTAGAATTATCCAAACGACCAATACCCCATAGGATCAATCTAGTCGATCCTGCAAGTTACCAGAGAGATTAAATAACAATTATTAAGATTATTTGATAGTTTGGAGGACTAGCGGTTGTTTACCAAAAATCACTGTAAACAACAGTTGGAAACTTTGTACCAGATTGTGTAACATCATAAAAAACTTCTAACCTTTCACAAATTTATTTTGCTTTCATCCATTCATTTTCATTAGGCAAAGTTTTATATTGAGTATCCCTATTTTCCAATCGACCAAACACATCTTTATATTGTATG